GATATGTAGTATTTCCCTGCCTCCACTCCCAACCCCATACCCTCATGCCACGCTCCAGCAGCCCTCACTGCCCTCGTGTGTGCCTGGCCCTTGCCACCTCTTCTGAAAATAAAGCCCCTTTGTCTCCCCTTCATCCCCCAGACCTCCCGCCTTGGCGCACAGTGCCTGCCCTAGTCCCTTTGTGATCTCTCCAGGCGTTTCCATGGCAGCTGCCTTGAAGCTGGCCCCTGGGCTGAGGCCTCCTCCCTAAGGGGGAAGGGGGTGGGGGAATGGAATGGGGTGGGAAGCTGGAGCGGTAGCCTGAGGAGCTGGAACTGGCTTGGGTGCAGGGATAGTATGCCCCATGCCCGGGGTCGTGAATAATGGACTGTGGGCAAGGGCATTGTGGAGAGATAATGTGTACAATGGAGGAGCTGTTAGGAGGATGTGAGAGAAGAGGAGGTTTAAGCTGGGGTGGAGAGTGGGGTGGGTGGTAAAAAGAGATTCAGAGGCAAGGTGGGTGATTACTATGGGCAACCTCCCTTTCCTGATTTGAGGACATTTTTTTGGAAAACCAGAACTCAAGCAGCCTCTTTCTCTGATTGTTGGCCTGATCCAGTCCACAGAATTGCATCCTGTTCAGCTGAGTAACATGTGTCCAGGACAGTCATTGCGCTGATCATCTGTGTTGGAAAGATTTGGGGTTCTTTCCTTTGTTACCTACCTCAAGGGGAATACAGTGTGTTGATGGAGACCAGGGTGGTGGTAGGCCTGGTGGAGGATGCTGCTAGAGGTGTAGGGACCAGGTGGAAGAAAAAGAAGGGAATAGGAACCACCAAACTATCACGGGTGAAGTATCTTGTATCTCAGTGGCTATATGGACAGTTAAGGCTGGTTCAGGGAGTAAGGTCTTGATTTTGACCATTCCTCGTGATTTCCTGTTGTGAGCAAAACACTCGGGAGCACCCGATACAGCTATCTCCACTCTCTGTGTGTGCATGGTGCTTGTGTTGTAAATACGTACAAATCTTCCTTCTCTCCACTTCTGTCACTGGTATATAGAATCCATTCTAACTTCCCATCACTTTTTATTCTTCCTACAACTACTTCCTCCTTGTGTGTAGGATCCCTTTATCATTTTTTGCTTCCTAGTTCCACTCAACTTGTATCAGAGCAAAGTTAGTTCTCTGAAGGATCAGTCCCTATAGATAAGGATTCTGCCCATGATGGGGGCAACATCAAGTTTGGGGAGGGCATGATTATCTTTGTCTTCATGGATTAAGACTAGGTCCTGAACATGCAGCATTTCTTTGAATAACATGCATCTGTCATCTAGGAATTTAAACTCTTCTTGGGCCTCTTTCTTTCTTTACTCCTCTCTCTCTCTCTCTCTTTTTCTGTCAGCTCTGTGATGGATAAAGTGGGGCTTCATTTGGGTTGTCTGAAACTTTGAAGTCTTTGAAGATGTGAGAGATTTGGTGATGTTTAGCATTTGAGGTTTGGTGAATAAGTTTGTTACCTTTTTCTATATCCCCTTCATGATATTCATAGCATCTTAGAGGTGAAAAGAAACATTTTATTTTATGTTTATTCTGAACTTAAGCATCAAATAAAATGAGCATTTTCATTTTTAAAATAGAACAGAAAAAGAATATAGTTCGTGAAACAAAATTTCTACTCCGTATAGCTTTTTTTTCCCCTTTTAAGTAAATAATAAATCCAGCATGAAACTTTCAAAGCTATCCTTGTCTGTGTTTCCTTCTGGCCTTCCTTGTTTGCTTTTATGTATTAAAAAATTACTTCAATGACTCCTTTTTCTTTTTTGGACCCTCCTCCTACTCCCCCTCTCCCTCCTACCTTCCTCTTCAAATTGCAGAAAGAAAGAAATAGAGAAAGAGAGGAGGGAGGAAGAAAGAAAGAAAGGAAGGAAGGAAGGAAGAAAGAAAGACTAACTATTGTAACAAATATGCGAGGTCAAGCAAAACAAATTCCCAATTGGGTATGTCTGAAAATGTGTGTCTCGTTCTGCTCTTTGATTCCATAATCTCTTTGTCAAGAAGCGGGTTTCATGTGTCATGCTTCTTCATCTGGCTTCTGGAATTGTGGTTGGTCATTCCATTCAGAGTTGTTAAGTCAAAAATTGTTTTTTGTTTTTTTTTTATTTGAGAGTGATATTATATAGATTTCTCTTCTGATTCTGCTTCTTTTACTCTGTATGAGTTCATAAAAATTTTCCAAGGTTTCTGTGAAACTGTCCCTTTCGTCATTTCTAACAATGTAAGAATATTCCATTAAATTCATACATAACATCATCTTCAGCCATTCTCTAATTGATAGGCATCTTTTAGTTTCCAGTTCTTTGCTATAACAAAAAGAGCTGTTAAACATACCTTTTTCTCTCTCTGTGTCTTTGGCGTATAGGCCTAGTAGTGCTGTCTCTGAGTCAAAGGGCATACACAATTTAGGAACTTTTCAGAGATAGTTCCAAATTGTCTTACAGAATGGCTAGACCTAAACAAACTTATGAAGAATTTAGTACTGAAAGGTTTAAAGCAACTGAAGGAATGCATATATTTCTCAACATCTTTACAAAAACTGTAACCATGTATTAGAGCATAGAGAAATTATACATTAATGTAAGAAAAATAGAAATGCTAAACATATCCTTTACAGATAACAAAATAAAAATGGCAATTAATTCAGGGAACACAAGCAATATATACAAACCTAAGTAAAGACTTAATGGCATCCTGAATAATGAATAGGTTAAATAACAAATAACAATAACTATGTGAAAGAGAATGATAATGATGAGATATAATGCCATAATTTCTAGGATTCAACTAAAGCAACACAGAAAATTATATTCCTGAGAATATACATTAGCAAAATAGAAAATCAGAAAGCTCATGAACTACAACATTTTTAAATTAACAAATATACCCAAATTAGCAGAAAAGAGGAAAATCTGGAAATTAAAGGAGAAATAGATACATTGGAAAACCAAGCCAAACCAAAAAACTAAACAAAACAAAAAACTCCTGAAACTATAGAACTGATAAAACTAAACATTGGATCTTTAGAAACACTAATGAAAATGATAAAACTTTAGCTAACCTGATTAGAAGGAAGCAAATAAATGAACACTATAAAAAAGGAACAAGGTGAAGTCACAACAAGCAGAAGAAATAAAAGAAATTATCAGGATCTTACTATTGATAGTTTTAACCAGCCCAACTGAAAATTTAAAACAGAAGATTAGCAACAAAAGGTATAAAATACCCCAATTAACAGAATACCAGATTGAGATCTTAATCCTATTTCAGAAAAGAAAATTGAACTAGCTCTAACTGAAAAGGTAAAGACAGGTTTACAGGCAAATTCTCTCAGACTCTTGAAGAATAATTAATACTCAAACTGTATAAATTAGTCTCAAAAATTGAAAGAGAAAACACTATCAAAATCCTTTTTATGAGACAAATGTAGCCCTAATGCATAAACCAGGAAAGAATAAAGTAAAGAAAAAGAACTATTGATCAATATTATTAATGAATATATATTGAACAATTTAGACAAAATTCTGGCAAAAAAAGACTATAGCCATATATCCCCCAAAGCATTCACTAACGTCAAGTTGGACTTATCCTAGGGATGCAAGGATCCTTTAACATTAGGAAGCAATGCAACAAAACATCCAAAATAATGTGATTATGTCAGTAGGTGCAGGCAGAAAAGAAAAGAGAAAAAAGTTGACCAAGGACAACACTCATTTAAGCTAAAAATTATGCAAATCATAGGCATGTAGGGCTTTTTTTAAAAAAACTATGATTTAAAAATATATATCTAAAATCAGTTCCTATCCTTTCCTTATCTAAAACCACAATCTGTATGGAACAGAGAAACCCTTTTGGTTTTCATAATAAATAAGATAGTAAAGCAAGGATGCCCCCTTTCTCCACTGTTATTTGATATAGCTTTAGGTGTGCTAAAAAGAGCAGTGAGATAAGAAAAAGATATTCAAGGCAGAAAGACAGGCAAAGAGGACACCGAAATGTCCCAATTTGTTGATGATGTTGTTTACTCAGAAACTCACTATCAGCCAGGAAATTAACTGAAATAATTGTTGGCTTCAGCTAAGCAGCGGGAATGTTTTTATTGATACCTTTTGTTTTTATATCACATTTATTTCCACATGTATTCTTGTATATCTCCCCTACAAAGTGAACAAGGATTAAAAAAGGGGAAGAAGAACGTTTTTCAGCAAAACCAACCAATGCATTGCTGTGTCTAATAGTGTATGTCAGTAATAGTTCAGTTATTTGAAACCATGTTATAATGTCCTCCTGAAGTCTTCTCTTTAGAGTAAATGTCCTCATTTCCTTCAGTTTTTCTTAGAGGCCTTTTACTGGCTGCCGTTCCCTGGACATTCTCCCCTATCAATTTCTTAAAATAAGGCATTAACAACTGCACACAGTACTCTAGATATGTATGAATTAGGACAAAATACAGTAGGATTTTCAATTGTTCTGGATACACTGCCTGTATCAGTGCAGCCAAGGGTACCCTCTGGACTGCTTTGGCACACTGTTGACTCACTGAGTCATTGAGAAGCCCCCAGGTCTTTTCCAAATATGTCAAAATTTCCCCAATTTGTACTTTTGAATTTGTTTTGAACCAAAGTATAAGACTTTACATTTATCTTAATTAAATTTTGTTTTATTAGATTCAGCCTAACTTTCTAGCCTGTAGAATCTCTTTGGATCCTAAGTTTTTTCCAATTTATTAGCTGTCCCTCCTAGCTTTGAGTCATTTGCAAACTTGGTAACCATGTATACTTGTCTTGCTTTCTTCTCAAGAGTACTGTGATATTTGTATGATAATCAACCATTATTAAACCTTTATAAAGAGGATTACAGGGATGTGAAAACCTCGTGGAAAAGATCAAATAATACAGTATACACATGGAAGATGTTATTATGATGGTGAGCTTTAAAACCCATCATTTCTTCCCTGTCCCATAGGCCATCCAACTTTCCCAGTCCTGTGACCTTCACATCAAAGGACGGGGATCAGAACTTGTGGTAATGACTCAAGAGGCATCTAAAGACAGAGATTTCCCTCTGAGTTCTTGTTCAGGTAAGTAAGGGGATAAGCAAAGGCTGGACCCTTGGCACTCACCCAAATTTATTCTCCCCATTGTCTTTCTTATTCTCCTATTCTTTAACTCTACGTTCAGTCGTCTCAGTCGAATGCTTGCTGTGGTTCCTATGTTGCCTGGATCTTTCCTTCCCCATGGTATGGGGTGGGAGAATGAGTTTGGATGCCCCACAGAGATTAGAGCTACAGTCAAACAATCTTCACCAAGCACTGATATATCCCTGGGAAGCTGGGCACCTTGACAGAGTTTTTTGGGGAGGTCAAGTCACTGTTCCCCCTTCTCTACACCTCACCATAGATTTCTTCACAGCCCCAGGAGCATATACCCCATTGTTTTTCTTGAGAAAGCCTTTTCTGATAACCCTTGCTAGTGTACCTAAACAAAAAGAAAATTGGGCACCAGACCACAAAAGGTAGCAGCAGGGTGATACCCTGTATCAATATTCTGATAATATTTATAAAGCGCTTAGCGTGGTGCCTGGCATATAGTAGGTACTATAAACATTTTTATTCCCTTCCCCTGCTTATATAGTGTAAAGAGTGTAGACTTGGGAATTTGGAGGCCTAGCTTCTTGTCCTATCTCTGCTACTAACTAGCTATGTAACCACAGGCAAGTCCCTTCATGGCTCTGGGGCAGTTTCCTCATTGGTAAAATAAGACGGTGGAACTACATGTTTTCTAAGGTGCCTTGAAGCTTTCACATCCTGTGAACCTATGAATAAAAGGATTAAAAAAAGAAACAACAACGAACTCTGCTTCTCCTTTCTATTACTCTGTTTTAGGTTTTTATGAGAATCTAGGTCCTGTATTTGATAGAGGCAACTGGGCAGTCTGGACAGTTTTGGGTTCTCATCATAGCACTGTCATTAGCATCCATGTGATGTTGAGCAAATGACTTAAACCCTGTGTGCCTCACTTTTGGAGATAATAATACTTTATGGGGCTACCATGGCAGAATCATGAAATAGATTCCCGGGTGTCAGAGTTATCCTCCAATGGAACCCTGACCTGAAGTGGGAATCCTCTCTCTGTCATTCTTAAAAGTGGCCCTCAGATCGACTTGAATATCTACAAGGGTAAAGAATGCATGGCCCTCCAACTGCCTCAATTTCCAGTTCTGAGTGGTCAAAGTTTTATTGGAAAAGCAGTGATTCCTTAGAGAAGTATTAAACCAGTCCCTTGAAGGCCTTCTCAGTAGTATGTCACTGACAGCCAGAGAGGGGGCTGCCAAAAACCAACTGTCTCCCTCCTTATCTTGCACTCAGCTATGCAGCCTTGCATCTATATAGATGCAGAGGGGTAATTTGTCACCACCTGCCCTCCTACACATAGTACAGCTGAGAATCAAGAAGGAATTCAGGAAAGGCCCCAGACCAATGAAGAAGGACCTCTTAAAGCCCATGCACTCTATGAAATGATGCAGAGCACTCAGGAAAACAATTATACAATGACAGCTGTCTGAATCTGGGCCCTTCTCCCTGGTGATGACAGATAGGAAGCAAGTATAGGAGATTTGCTGGGGATTAGGTTTTTGTTGTTGTTGTTGTTGTTGTTGTTGTTGTTGTTGTTAAACCTTGTTCTGGACCACCAGCATGGGCTGTGTTTTTTAAAGGTCTGTGCATTCCTTCTGGCTCCCTCCTTGGCTTGCCTGGCCCCACAAAGTGGGCAGTGAGGCAGAACAGGAAAGGGCCAATGCAAGAGACCCACTGTGTCAGTGCAATGCCAGGACTCAAAGATCTCACTTTTCTTTCTATCTTTCCGGCCTTCAACTTTCTCTCTCCCTTTCCTCTTCTGTCTCCTCCCTTCACTTTGTCTTCTTACTTCTTCATTCCTCCATGCTTTCCCATTCTCACCTCTTTTTATTCCCACCTTCTTTTCGCTGTTTTCTTCTTTCCTTCGCATTTTCTCCTCCCTGCTTTCTGTTTCCTCTCTCTTCTTTTTCTCCCATTCACCACGGTCTTTCTCTACCACCTTTCTTTCTCATTCCTACATCTTTTATTCTCCCTCTCCTTTCAACCTCATACCTTCCTCTCTTCTATCCCAGAATCAATCGCTGAGCATCATTTCTGCACATCTCCTCCTTTTCAGCAGGTGACAGCAGCATCATGGTGAAGATCAAGTGGGAGAGGCAGGAGTGGCTCCCGCAGGCCCTGGAGGCCCCTGCCATCCTGCCAGAGAAGGACAAGGAGAACATCTTCCAGCATCGCCTGGGTCATCCGCTTCTCCAGGCTTTGGGGAAGCCTCGAGCCCCAGGGGGGTGGGAAGAAGCCCAAGGCCCAGGCCGAATTCCCAGTGCTCACTGGATGGGAGTGTCAACAGGCCGTGGGTCCACAGCAGTCCCCTTGCCCCTTGGCCCACCGTTCCCAGTAGGTGAGGGACACTTTGCATGTCCAGACTGTGGGAAGAGGTTTAGTTGGTGGTCATCACTGAATATCCACCAGCGCACTCACACAGGAGAGAAGCCTTATCACTGTGGCAAGTGTGGCAAGAGCTTTAGCCAGAAGCCCAACCTGGTCAGGCACCAGAGGCACCACACAGGTGAGCGGCCCTTCCACTGCCCTGAGTGTGAGAGGCGCTTTAGCCAGAAGCAACATCTGCTCAAACACCAGAAGACACACTCCCGCCCTGCAATCCACTCCTGTCCTGAGTGTGAGAGACGTTTCCGTCACAAAGTTGCCCTCCGTGTCCACCAAAGGACCCATGCCCGTGACCGTCAGCTGGCCCGAGCTGAGCTGCAGAAGCTCCTTAGAGACAAGGTGACCCGGAAGCCCCGCCGGCCCCCATCGGCATCACGAGAATCACCGGGCTGTCCCTGGGTAGAAGCTGGTGGAGGGTGGAGGGCTGGGCCACCTGCCAAGGCTCGGACCTCTGCTGCTGGCTCCGGGGAGCAGCGCCAGTTCATCTGCAACGAGTGTGGGAAGAGTTTCACATGGTGGTCATCGCTGAACATTCACCAGCGGATCCATACGGGGGAGCAGCCGTACGCCTGCCCGGAGTGTGGGCGGCGCTTCAGCCAAAAGCCCAATCTGACTCGGCACCTCCGTAACCACACAGGTGAACGACCCCACTCATGCCCTGATTGCGGCCGTGGCTTCCGTCAGAAGCAGCATCTGCTCAAACACCAGCGCACGCACCGTGTTGGGGAGAAGGCTTCCATGTGCCCTGGCTGTGGGGAGAGCTGCCCCAGCCGGGCAGCCTTGCGGGCCCACCAGCGGGCCCACGCTGCTGCTGAGCTGCTCCATGGGGCAGCCCTCCGGGGCCGGATGGTGGTGGCAGTGGCCAGTGTGGAACCAGGGTCAGGCTTGCTGCAGCCTGCAGAGTACGCCCTGGGCTTCTCTCTGCAGCCACCGCCAGCTTCCCAGGCCTTGCAAGGAGATGAGGTTGTCTTGCTGGGCAGGGAACCACGCTGGGGCAGGGGCCCAGTAGGCATGGCCCAAGCAGGTAGAGGAGTCCCTCCATCTGGCACTGCGGAGCAGCGTCAGTTCATCTGTAACGAATGTGGCAAGAGCTTCACCTGGTGGTCTGCACTCACTATCCACCAGCGGATCCACACCGGGGAACGGCCCTACCCCTGTCCCGATTGTGGGCGTTGCTTCAGCCAAAAGCCCAACTTGACTCGGCACCGGCGGAACCACACAGGCGAGCGGCCTTACCTGTGTGCTGACTGTGGCAAGGGCTTCAGTCAGAAGCAGCACCTGCTTAAACACCATCGTGTCCACAGAGGAGGGGGCCGGCTAGTGCTTACCCCTGCACATAGTGTCAAGGAAGAACCTTAAAGGACGGGGCTGAGACTTAGGAAGTCTCCGTAATCGGGGATTGTGTGCATGTGTGTGTAGGGGGGAGGGTGGGGAACGGGAAGGGGTTTTATAGTTGACCTACTTGCTTGAACAGAAGACCCCTGAGAGTAGCAACTTTCCTGGGGAGGTTTCTCCCCAGCCCTTGAGTTTTCTTCAAGGCTTAGAAACTCGTCCTCCAAACAGCTTGTGGATGAATCCTAAGGTGACCTCGTACCTTGAGTACAGGGGGGTTGGGTTAGGCCAGATAACATCAACTTCAGTGATTGACTTCTTCCTATTTTTCTCCCTCCCCCCTTCTTCCAGGGATACACCGTGACTCTGGATGGAGGTAGCATCCTAGAGAGGAACCTTCACAAATACTTGTAAGAGTTCAAAGGCATGGAATGCCTAGGGTGCAGGCCAATTTAATCTTAGCAAAATGTCATACTGGTCCATGCTGGCTCAAAGAATGGGCACTCCAAAGAGGAAAAGGTCTTTATAGCTGCACTCAGATGCATCATCAACATTGGAAGCCAGAAGTCTTTTAATGATACAGGTGGGATGAGGGAGCTGTCCCAGCCCAGGCCAGGGTAGAAGTGTGGGAGGCCTGGCCCAACATCAGTGAGGATGGTGCCTGGTTGTGGTTTGATATTATAGAAGTTTCAGGAGAATAGCAATGTCTCATATCATTTAGAAAACAAAATGGTACCCAAGGTAGGATGAAGATGACTTACTTTATCGGGACTTATCTTTACCAAGAATGTTTCAGAAAAGAAAAATGAAGGATTGAGTGTTTAAAATGGTCTGAGTGCTTATTTCCTTTTCTCTCCTTTACCCCTACTTGCTAAATCTTCAGGACTTTAATTTGCTTTCTTCCCAGAAACCACCAAGGAGGATTCTCTTTTTTCTGCATACCATACATAATGCTCAGTGGGAAGAAATACTTCCTTCTCACCCCTGTACCTGGAGAAAGGGACAGAACCAGCTTGCTCTCAAACAACTCAAGTCAATTAAAGGCTGAAGATATTGAGACATGCTGGTTGGAGAGAGCGCTGCCTTGGGTAACTGACTGGCAGACAGTGAGGAACCAATCTAGGGGAAAGTAAATGATTGGGGTTGGGTGGAAGAATGTGGTCTTAGTAGAATTCTTAGTGGTCCTAGCTACTACTAGGTGCCCATAAACCTGGGGAGGGGTGAAAGAGGGGTGGGGATAGCATTGGGTGACAGAAATTGTTGATACAACTTGCCCTAAGGGAGGGTGCATGATCAGTTTTCTTTTTTGAAGCCATAAATGGATAGGACCTGTGGTTTCATTGGTGTACTGAACTTCATAGTATGGAAACACCTTCCACTGATATAGATTAGCAACTCATCTGTAATGTAAGTGTTTTGGGGAGTTTCCTGGGCACCAAGAGATTAAATGACTTGCACAGCATCAAATAGCCAGTATTTGTCAAAGGCAAGATTTAAACTGAAGTTTACCTAGCACCAAAGCTGGTCCTCTATCCCCTACACCCTGATGCCCTTCAATAATGATAACCCTTTACTAGTCATTTTTTCATTTCTTTTTTAATTGAGGTTGTTTACTGGCAAGGACACTCATGAGGAAATGTGACCTTCCATATTGACCTCTGGCCCCAAGAATTCCACAACCCCAAACACTTTGATACACTGCAGATCTACTTCAGAAAGGAATTAGTTAATCTCTCATCAGTGATGGGTGCTTGTCGGGCAAATGGCTGGCAGATACTATAAAGAATTGGCGAGGGCCACTAACCTCTGCTCAATCTGGGATGTAGTGACCCCTGAGGGTGACTTCTCACTGTTCCTGACTGTGGCCAAAGACCTATGATAAGTACGCACCACAATGGCTCTTACAAAGGACAAAACCAGTTTTGGAGAGGCACCAGGCCCTATTTCATGTGATGATTGGCACAATGAGCAGCTTTAGTTGCAAAAACCTCACAGGCATCAGTCCAGGATGAGAAAGGCTCATTGTTGGCATCGTAGGGTCTCCCATGTAGGGGCCTAGCATCATGACAGGGTGAGGAGATGGGAACATAGCTATCCTGATGGAAAAATGGAGGACAGATCAAGAAGAATTTTTCCTTGCTGAAATGTAGCAAATGTTTTGTCAGTCAGGTGCTGAGCTTGATCTTCCACCCATTTGTGACCCTTTTTCATTTTCTCATGGGTGAAGTAGATCATGGTGGTCACAGTAGTTGGGCATGGTGGTTCTTGATCTTTGGTCATTTTGATCTGCCTAGACGAAGTTCAATCTTCTGGCACCCACCCACACCATGTCTGAGCACTATTGGGCCCTATTGAACTTGAAGTCCACCTAGCCATATTATCCTTATAAGAGAACAGTTCCTACACTTCTTGCTTTTGTCCCTTGATATGTTAACATGCTGTACGTGTGGAATAAGTTTTTCCTTTAGGATACTTTAGGATAAGTGTTTAGGACAGGAAGTCTTAAACTTTTTTTGTGTCTCTTATGAATCCCTTTTGCATAGTCCCTATGGACTCTTTCTCAGAATAATGTTTTTAAATGCATAAATTAAAATCCAATGGATTGTAGAGGAAACCAGTTGTATTAAAATATAGTAATGAAAATGTAAAAAAAAAAGACCAAATTTACATACAGCAGGAGGTGAGAACCTCTTAGACTCTATGGAGAACCCGGTCCCATAATTCTCCAGCATCACATCCCTGAATAGAGCCCTCTGATCTTGGTTAAAGTACTGTTTTTCCTCCTTGAGATTTGGGACCTAACTTTCTAAAGTCCACTCATACCTATTTTTCAGATTCTCAGCAGAGCTTCTTCCAAGATGACTCTCACTGGAGGCCCCAGGATAGCCATGGAAATGCTCATAGGAAGGCCTCTGATTTTCTCCTCACAAGCTCCCTGTGAGGAAAATGCAGTAGTTATCTCCATTGAGAAATACATTTTCTAGAGTCACAAAGTGATCGTGTATGAATGGCAACCTCCCACTTCCACTAACTGGGAGACAAGGCTATGATACTCTTGATACAGAAAATAATAGAATTAAGTGTTAAGCCGCATAGGGTTTCAGATCTATGTAGGCCGGAGTCTTTGTAGGAATCTTTAGGAAAGTGGCAGGACCTGAGTGGGGCTTTGAAGGATGGATAGGTTTTGGATAGATAGAGAAGGGAGAGTGGATTATGGATAAAGGCATGGGGACAGAATGCCTAAGGTACGTTTGGGAAGTCAGTGAATCACAGAATTACAGGATCATGGAATTGGAAGGGACCTTAAAGGTTATTTAGTCTAGCCCTTACATGAATTCCCTCTCTGTTGTTCTTGATGACTGGTTGCTCAGTCCTCTAGTTACGGAGGTTTCATGTCTCCCAGCCCTGGTTCTGTCTCTTACATGACAGCCCTTCAGATAACTGAAGGCTGTGATTGTGTTCTCTCTTCAATGTGTTTTGGTTTCTTCAGGCTGCATATGACATAGTTTCAAGGCCCATTGCCATTCTGTTCACTAAACTCTGCAGGGTACAACTTTTAAATGTCCTTTCTTAAATGTGCTCAAGACTGAATGCAGTCCTCCAGCTCGGAGTACCATGGGACTAGTGCCCTCCTCATTCTGAATGGGTCATCCAGAAAATGCAGGCTAACTTAACTAACTTCACTCCTTTCTGATATGGTTCCTGTCAGTAGAACAGGTGTTTGCCAAACCAACCAACCGAGTACTAGGTTAAATACATCAAATGGTATGTTTTTATATTTTATATCTGATAAGGAAGTCTATTGCTGGGGTGATGAGCAAGGAAGGAGCATCAGCTCTTGCTTCATGGAGGAGGTAAGATTTCAGAGTTTTTTTTTTAATCAGCCAAAGGTGGTTTTGCAGAAAAAATGATTTTATGCTGTTTGGCAAAGGGCCCTCCTGCCTTCCCCACCCCCACCCCCATCCCCCTAATCTTCACAAGACTGACACCTGCAGTTATCCACCATCTATGGAAACAGGTTTAAGGTCTCCAGTACTTGTTGGGAAAATAAGAGTGGTGCTATACTGTTGGCTGCCATGGTGATGCCAGTCACCATGAAAACCAACACTGGGGATGCCACTTGGCAACAGAGGACAGAAGCATCCATATTCAGTGGGAAGGACTGGCACAACACTCTACATTCACAGTCATTTTGATATGAAACAGAGAGGGGGCTCCACTGGGGTTTGGCAGGATGAGGTTAGTCAAACTTTTTTAAGGGAGCATCCTTAGCAGTATTGAGTTCAGCAAAGATAAACATCCTTGTGATGCTTAAGGAGGGAGGATTGGAAAACCAAGAAAATTGGATCAAAAAAATCCCACAGAACTGGAACAGAGAAAAGAGAATACTGAATAATATTGCTCAGGTGAGAGTTTGGGGGTTTTTTTGGGGGTGGGGGTGGTGAGAAGGAGGGTTGGGACTGGGAATGCCCTGGAATGATTTGCTTCTAGTGGCAACTTGCATATCTCAAGGTATTCCCATCTTCCAGGTCCTCATATTCTCCTCAAGCATGAACACTGGTAGGATCACTTCTGCTGAGGAAGATGGGAGGGTGGTGGGCACCTCTTCCCCTCTGACAACCAAAGAGAAGCAGGTCAAAGTAGCAAATGGCAAAGCTGAGGAGGTGCTTATGGCATATTGCTTATGGCATATTGCAATGGTGTCAAACCCAAATAGAAACACACTGAAGGTGGCATATTGACTTAGAAAACCACAAATTACCATTACCTATATTTTAATTTTTTTTGTTGTTAAATATTTCCCAATTACATTTTAATCTGGTTCTATCAGCAGTGTTTGACACCTGTGACCTACTGGATCTCACTTAGAGTCTACATTGGACGCTAGCTCCATGAGGGTTGGAGTGGGCAATTTGAATTTCTTGTTTTCCCCAGCTCTGAACATGATATTCTGCACACATTGTAGGCCATCGATACTTGTTTTTGTCACTGAGTCCCTCAGACATCATAAGATGTTCTCCTATCTCTTGGGGATCACAAAATTGACCTCCATGTCCCTTACTCTGCTGGGGCTAGCTCGGTGGTGTTTATGCTCATGGGTAAAGAGAAAGGAGGTGAGCACTGCACCGGTGTGCACAGCATAGCTACTAAGTATAAAATGTGGGGCTTGGACAAGATGGTCCCTAAGATTCCAGCTCTGATCCTCTAATCCCTGGCTCTGACTCCTGCTTGCTCCCTGTTGGCTGGTGCACTCTCCTTCTCTTCCTCCAGCTCTTGAAGCGTCACTTGTCAGTAAGCTAGGACTCACTCTCTGTCAGCAATTGAGTACTGCAAGTTAGAGGTTTGAGCTGAAGCAGATACTCTATGTCAAGGCAGTGTTTCATTGGTGCCTAAGACACTTAAATACTTCAATATGTCAAGGGATCTAGGAGCTTGTCAGGGTGGGTGTTCATATCAAACCCTCCCTACACTTTGGTAGATGATGACCTTGGACAGATGCTCACAGAAAAAAAAGAAAAAAAAAAGGATCATCCTGTGGCCAATGTAGTAGTGAGTGCCTCAGAATTTAGCTGGGCTGAGATTCGGATTTCAGAAACCAAGTCCATCATTGGGCCTGTCCTCTCAGCCTTTCCTGCTTGGTAGTATTTGCCAGAGCTTGTGCCTTACCGACATATCTTTTGAGAACCCAGGGTCCACCTCCATGCCACAGAAATGGGCTTATGTGAAGGAGAAACTCTGATGATCCCTTGTAAATGCTTCCTATTGGATTAGCATCCCTTGGGGGTTAGCAGGGGTCACCCATCCACATTTACTCCCCCAGGACAAT